GAGTAATTTCACAAAAATAATTGAATATCAATTCAATAAAAATTTAAAATACATCAAATATTCTTTCTATTAAACATCTTCCTCTCTTTAGTCTGTTATTATATCCTCACATTGTTTGAGAAAAATTCTATACATGCTTCGGCGGGAACGGGGATTGCTTGACTCATATTAATACAAGGCCACGCTGACGCTCGTCCTTGTACGTCACACTCGTCCAACAATCCTTTACTTCCCGGCCTCTGCAATAAAGTACTTTTTTTAAATTGTTTAAAACTCCTTATTAAACTTTGCAAAAAGAAAACATTTATAAGGTTGGCGTGACCGCATCAAGAATAAATTGCCTATTTTAATAAATAAATTTCGTGTTAGATTCGCTCAGTTAGCTTTTAACTATGTAGTTAACGACCGTGATATATGCAAACAAAAATTCGTAAATTACAATCAAAAACATCGTGAGATATGCTGTAAATACTGAGGTCAAATGTTTTTTAGCTCGTTTTTTAGTCGTGTCTATATTAAATGATGACATGATATGTCTTCTATTACCAAATAACACTATAATACGTCTAAAATACTTATAAAATATAATGTTCACCTGGGAATCGTAACCATTCCAGTGTCGACTGACTACCACCAAAGTTAAAAATGCAAAAGACAGCAAGTATGACAGCTATGTTTCATTGTTCCAGATGAAACCAGTAGTAATAAACAAAAGCGGCCCAAGGATGTCACTCTGGCGGAACCACCGCATACCATGGAAATTGCTCAGATCCTCATCTCCTTGCTTCACGCTTGGGGCTTGGACCCTGACCTGGACAGGGTCTGCGAGTCCAAACTGGGACTTCTACGGCCTATGGTAAGTGTTTAAAGGATATAACTACGCGGCTTCTACAAATCATTATTTCGGATTAAAGACGGGGTTTTACCCGATAAATATCCGTCAAAGGATAAATATGCAATAAACATCCGATTTCACTGAGTATTGAATTAATGAACTGCCTCCGTGGCCGAACGGTTACCATGCCGGACTGCCACGTAGAGGTCCCAGGTTCGATTCCTGGGCCGGGAGAAATAGTTGTATGGCCTACAATTATTTCTCTCGTGAGTTTGGGTGTAATTTGTGGTTGTCTATGTGTGTGTCCATGGCACCCGCGACACAGGGTTTCCCTAGTGCGGGGCTATGTTGAGTGTGTGCGTTATTTATTTATTTATTTATCCTAAAACATGGCCAATTATTTTATTGTGTTTTTTATAATGAAATTCATTAGAATTCATTTTTTTATTGAATAATTACGTACGATTACTTCTCATTTTGCCATTGCCAAACAATACTATTTTAGTACGTACGTTTTTCGAGTCGATAACATCTCATTATTGGTAGGAATGAAAATTAATTGCAACATACTCACCTAAACTTTTATCGACATAAAAGTTGGCTGGTATAGAAAATTCGATTGACAGAAAGTTGTCAAATTAACTGTAACCCTTGAGCTGACCTATCCTGCGTTAATAAAGTGCGACCCAACTTTATGGTCTTGGGGTCTACTGCGTACTAAATAAAGTCATGTTCGGACTTGAAATAGCCCAAGGATTCTCAATCATATTTCACACACAATCTGTTCATTAAAACACATGATATAAAAAATGTTTTGATGCGAAGTGCGAGCGCAATTCTCCTTAGCGGCTCTCTCCGTTTCTTTCGCACTCAAGTAAATTATTCGGTAGCGAATTTTGGCTTTGTCAAAATAGTGACCAAGTGATTTTGAATTGAATATCCTTTGTATTAGAATTAATTATCGTTTACGTATTTCCAATGGAGTCTGTATAGTTTTTTAAAATAAAATATTGAACAACCAAAAACCCTCATATTCTATATACGAAGCTGAACAACTATACATTTTTGGATAAATATCGAGTAAAAATAATTATTTATCCATGACCCATCTTTATTTCGGACTAATTAAATCCATATTCAATTGTAAAATTAAAATTGAAAATGTAAATCAAATACATTGATAAATAAATTTAAATAAATAAATTAAAGTTACAATGAATGTTAATAATTATAATAAATAACATAAAATTGTTATTCAAATAAATAACATACATGAAAACAAAACAAATCTTATTATTATATTGTTTTTTCAAGCAAACCAACGTTTCGGACCCTTTACAGGTCCCATGGTCGCGGTAGTATGCGTTCACTATCGTAGTTGTCTCTTCGCGGAGTTATTTTAACGCATGTTGGAACTAGGTTATTGTCGCGGCACTTTTTGTGAAAAGTTAATGCAGTTAGGGCGCGCGCACGTTTGTTCTTGAGGTCTTCGAACCGCCGGATTTTATTTGCAACGTCCAGTCCGTATTGGTGTACATATCGAGTTATTTGGTTTAGAAATATTTTTTTAGTTATTAGGAAATGAAACTATATTTCCGGATTTAAATCGCGTATATTTGTTTTTTCAGACAAACCAACGTTTCGAGCCCTTTGCAGGTCCATGACCGTGATCGCGAGACGAATTATAACGAAACCGTTGTTCTTTCAGGCTATGTTGGAAGTTTATAGCAAAGACACGATTAGGTTCGGTTAGGTTAAGTTAGGTTTAGAAGAAAAAACGTTCTCCTCTTAAAATTACTTTCGAAGTTATGAAAATTCCAGCAAACGTTATGTCTGGAAAATTTCATTTCGGACTTCTGATAGGTAACTCTGCTTGACGGCAGAAATAGGTAAGGTGACAGTACTTCCCTGGACGAACTCCTTCACAAGAAGATCTACTGCTACTTTTTTTATTAACCTATTACGTCCCACTTTTGGGTGGAGGTCTCCCAAAAATCCTCCGTGGCGGGAAATTGCCACAGATAGAGATATCTCTGGCAATTTCCCGCCACTCCCCCTCAAACCCATCAAAATCGTCCTGCTAACGCCTTCTCGGCCGTCTTCGCCGTCTCTTTCTATCCTCGGGCACCCAAGGAGTGACGACGTTCGCCCGCTTCTCGGGTTGCATCCATAAGACGGCCCACCCAATCCTGTTTGAGCTTTGCAGTTTTGCTTCCTTCATCAGCAATGCCAGTCATTGTACGCAGCATTGCACCTGGATGAACTTTTCTGACTGGATTCGAACCAGCGTCTGTTGTCACACTGGGACATTCTCACCAACTAGTAGCAGTAGAGCTCCTTGTGAAAGAGTTCGTCCTGGGAAGTGTGGCCACCTTGTCTATTTCTGCCGCCAAAATGTAATGTCAGCATTACTGCATTCAGGTTTTGAAGGGTAAGTAAGGGTGCTGGTGAAATTACAAGCACATGAGACTGGTCAACTTATGTCTCAAAGTGACGGGCGCAGTGGTAGTGCCCCTCAGATCTTTGCGATTTAAAGCTCTGAGTCGCACTGCAACTGTTATGGATACGCGTGTAGCTTAAAATAGCACGACTTGTTCGTCCCGTCACTGGATATTACAAAAAAAGTTTAAAGCCCTGAATGCTGCGTTCCATCCATACTGCTACTAAAATAAATAAATTTTTTGAACGTTATTTACATTAAAAAACTTACATTTCGTCTGTGAACTGGCAACCGGTCCTATCTCAATTTTGACAACTTTACAGGTTGAAGAAAAAATCATTTATATAGTCATATCTGGTTTATTAAATAAAAATACATAGTGTACATACATGTGTAATAAAAATATTTAAAAAGTACGTATTTTTATTTAATAAACCAAATGCTTTATAAATGACGCAAACAATTTTTTTCTTCATCCTGTAAAGTTGTTAAAACTGAGATAGTACCGATTGCCAGTTCACATTCGATTTGTTATTATATCGAATGAACCCCACCTCCCTAAAACCATCTCATTTTTTCAGGTGCCAGTCTGCTTCGGCGTGGTCTCCCGCCACGGCCACATGGCGGTCCAACTTCCAACTCGCCTCAATGACTGGACTGACGCCTGCAATGCAGCTCCTACTGACCCTATACTCACGACTTCTGGCTTGCCACCGGAGTTGCTGCGACAGGAGAAATTGACCAGGTAATGCATTGACTTACAATTATATGGACGTCGGGTCCGCGCTAAAAAGTGTCCGAACTTATAGGGCGTTAAAATCGTATACAGAGCGTCATTCACGCTTAAGTCTTCGTTTGTTCGACTGACAGCGAAGCAAGCAAAATTAGACGTACTGCGATGACATTACAATTTAAATTCAACGTTTTATCTTTTTCATATTCCTTTACATGTCACTACGTTTAAATAGGTTGACTTGGGACATTTTTTTCGAGGTTTTTGTATTAGACCCGTCGTCCATTTATTTGTAAGTCAATGAGGTAATGTTACTTAGTCAATTTAAAAAGTTCTTCCTTACTATAGTCTGAATTTCTAACTATAATTTCATACATTTCCGGGACACATTACTCAACCCGTACACATCAGTTTTGCTTTGCAGTAGGAATAGATAGAGCAGGGTGACTGCATGACCAGAGTTCCTTACAAGAGTCCAAATTACAAATAAACCTTTGCCATTGAATATACGAAGGCCGACTTAGTAGCAGTAGATCTCCTTGTGAAAGAGTTCGTCTAGGAAAGTACTGCTGTATGTTAGCATTACTGTGTTCCGGTTTTGAAGGGTAAGGGTGCTGGTGAAATTACAGGCACATGAGACTTGTCCACTTATGTCTCAGAGTGACGGGCGCAGTAGCAGGGCCCTTCAGATCTTTGCGTTTGAAAGTTCTGAGTGGCTCTGCAACTGTTATGGACAGACGTGTAGCCATTAGGCGACGCATGACTTGCTCGTCCCATCACTTGATATTATGAAAAAAAAAAATTGTTTAGTCAAACATGGCAAGATGTAACTGGTATATGGAATGCTATTGCTTCAGACTATTCTCCTCGAAACTTCACTGGGAGCTTAGCACCACGCTCACAACGAACCACCTTCTCTCCATCGTGGCTCTAGCCAACACCCTGATGTCCATGAGCCAGGCTAGTTTCGTGCCTGAACAAGAGATCGCTAGGAAGCTACACAGGTAAGATAGTCAAGAATTGTTATGTATAGCAACTAGAGATGGTCAAGCGCCCAGGTTTAAACCCGGCACTTTGTTAATTCCGGGTTAAAATCAGGTTAAAACCCATTAATGTCCAAAATCGAGGGCAAAAATTTAAATAGTTAAACTAAATATTTGTTGTAAGTCGAGTTTTATTCAAAGAAAGATGGCGAAAGCTGACCCAATAATTATAAAATTTCATTCATGCACTTTACTAGTATAATTTTACGTTTTAGTTATTGCCTAATTGTCAGTATGTTTTTATATATTTTTAGAAGTCGGGAGTAAAGAAATTGCAAAACAATCTATTTTAGAATAAATGCAAGTACACAACGCAATTAATTAAGTTCGACCATAGATTAGGTAACGTTCTTGTACTTACGTTTCATTTTAAGCAAGATTGACTATTACCTACCTAAAGTATTAGTTATTTTATAGTATACACATATAACTTTAAGGCTATAAAATACCTAATCAAATAAGTCAATTAAATAGTAATGACATAAAGTAAAAATAAAACACAACGTGACAAAAATGTTAAATTTAAATGAGAGATAAGAAAGTTAGTTAAAACAAATATACGCGATTTAAATCCGGAAAAATAGTTTCATTTCCTATAAATACCTTATTTTTTATATTTTCTGTTGCTTTCTGCTACTACGAACAAACATCTGAAGCGAAATACGGTATAATGATATAAACATAACGTATATCAACTTTATATCCCCAGCTTTTGTAGGCTAAACTCAATTAGCTTTTATGAGGCTTTGATAATGAATCACAAGTATTAATAGGTCTCTTTAATGCACGTCGTCAAAAACACTGGGTCACAAAATACACGGGATGTCGCCATCCTTCTTTAATTATATTATTACAATATTATGTTTGTTGGTTTTTATCTAGAATATACATATTTGACTTTTTATTTATTAATTTATAAGGAAATACTTGCGGACTTACAAATTAACCAACACGCCCAGCAATATATGGATTACAATATTAATTATAAAATAATAATAATAAAAGTAACAAACACAAAATAATAGTAACAATTTGAATTCTAAATAGCTCTACAATAAGATAAATTCACAAAATTTACAATGAGTTGCGACCAACTATCCGCGAACATATCAGCGACCTGGTCAAGAGCGAGAAACTCATTCAATAAGACAAGCGCTCTAGTGGTCGGTGCGTTGAAACCCTGTAGACTGCGCGTTTTGTTTAACATTGCAAAAAGGTTGCGTGTGCGCCGTCCTGTGCGGCCCACCATGCTACTGTAACGATCTGGCACGAATAGACCAAGTCTTTCTAAAACGGATGGATTATCTATACTGTGTCAAAAGAGCAGGCAGTAATGGGTAAGCAACACAATCTTCCGCCTCTATTCAAGGGTTTCCAGACCAACCATCCCAGTAACAAAAAGCGATGGAAAAAGAAATACAACTGTACCGTGCAAACTTGCGTTGTAGTCTTTCGATCATTAGGGTGTATTTAACCTCTCGAGGATCCCATACAAAAGCATTATACTCAAGCTTGGATCGAACGTACGCGTTGTACAGCAACACAGCAACATTTGAGTCACGGAATTGAGACGCTGTCCTTATTATGAAACCCAGCACCCTGTTAGCAGATTTGCAGATGCAGACGCATGCTTAATCGGGTATCCAATGTTATCTTATGTTTGAAACGGTTTGCTAGAAAATCGAATGAAAATAATTAGATATAAAAAATCTTTAGAAAGCAGTTGAATCGATTTTCATAGAAAATTTAATCGTAATGTGCATTTATGTGTGTATGGTCTCACCATACATACTTAAGTACAAATCTGCGCACGCGGCAACCTACTTAGGCCGCGCGCAGCTCTTTGTTTTATATAACTAATTAATCTTTAATTTTAACTAAGTACGTCACCAACTGTCCACAGAGACACTACTTAAGGAAAGATTTGCCACCTAACACTTGTAACTTATTAGGAAAATATACTTTGAACTTTCAAGCAATCTTTCTCTCCGTGCTACTCTACTACTACAACTAACTTACAACTACAGTGCATGTATGGACTACACCTGGCCTATTCATTTTGGAGAATCCACAGGATTGCAAGGTGTGCAGTTGCCTCTTTTTCATCTAAAAAACATTTTTTGCATTGAAATTGGTTATAAGTATGGAATAATTCCGTATTCCAATATTTGCCGTTTCTAACAATGATTATGGGCAGAAATGGATTAAAACCCGCCGCTTTGGGTAAAAACCCAGTTAAACCCGGGCGGGTTGTTTAGGTTTTAAATCTCTGCCCATCTCTGCAGCAGAAACAGTCGCCCAGACGTGCAGAAATAAGTCACCTTTACATTGCAGATGTAGCCGTCCAATTATTGCAATAATAGTTGACCCCACTATACAGCGTTATTTGTAAAGTGTTAAAAACCTTGCAGGACACATTCATATTATAAACAACAACTTTTGTTCAACTTCATAAAAAAATATAAATAGATCACTCTAAACGGTGATAATTTTCTGCAAGACGCAGGAACGCGGGTGGGGGTCAACGGGGAGGGCGTTTGCACGTTTCAACTTACTACCTTACTATCTGATACAGATCTAAAATGTATCAGATAGTACAATAGAAACTTAAAACTTTATTATTTTTATTGTGTTTTATAAAATGTCATTGAACAAAATGTTGTTGTTCTTATGTTATCATTATAGTCCTGAGAGGTTGTTGTATAATTCTAGAAAAATGTATGACTTTTTATTCTTCTCTTTATTTTTTAATTACTAGAACTCGTATTAATAACAAAGATCGAACACTTAGGGTCGTATTCTAGAACTCTACTCAATGCTCAAGTCAGGATTTGAGTATGGTTTAAAGCACTCGAAATCATACTCAAGTCCCTGCCATTAGGGTCGTATTTCCTGTGCTTGTGTTTCAATTGCAATCCTGACTTGAGCATTGAGCAGAGTTCTAGAATACGACTCTTAGAAAGAATTCCTTCGCTCCGGCCGGATTCGAACCGACGTCTTCTAGCAAACCTTGGCAGACGCTATACTCGGAACGAACCAGCGATCCTTATGAATTTTTCTATGTGCTTGTTGTAGATCTATTTTCGGTTTTTGACGACTTTTTATGCCGTAGCGCCATATGTGATAAATTTATTTCTTCACGAGGTACCTTTACAGGTACAAGTTTTTAATTACTTTTGTGTTATAGGCCTTCAACGCGCAGCACATCTTCCTGGGCTGGAGACGAGGAACGAGAAGAACAGCTAGCAGCCCAGCAGGCTCATATCAAGCAGGGATGGTCACTGTTAGCCACCCTGCACTGCGTGTTGTTACCCGATAAAGTGGTAGCTGCAGGTACGTAAAACGAAACCACCTTCACAATTACTTCCTTCTATAAACTAGCCTACAAAACTAGTTACTGTATGGAGTTGTCCCTAGTTTTCCATAAAGTACGTAGAATGTAAGCGTAGTTTTTTTTTAGTTGTCTTTGGTTCATATAAACACCGGAAATCCACAATTTTTTTTAATTAATTATATAATTAAATAAAAATGTCTTAACAGTTAAAGAAATATCCTCCTACGGTGATAAATACAGAACTCGGCTAGATCACCCAAATCAACTAGCCAAGCAGCTCACCATGCCTGAAAGTATACGACGACTAAAAAAAGGCGTGACACCTTTGACCATGGTAGTCAGTAAAATACCTGATAACTATAGGGCAGGACTCCGCTGGAAGTAGCACCCTTTCCATTATGCTACATACAACCCATCTGTTTATAGACAGGAAGGCTGATTGCAGGATAAAGAAAGAAAAAAAAGTCTTTAATTATGGTTATGATTATGAATGCAATGATCGAAACACACAGAAAAATTTCTTCGACCCGGTGGGACTTGAACCCACGACCATGCTGCACCGTAGCATTTCTCTAACCATCTGAGCCACGGATCCTGTTACCGAGTCGTCGAAATTCTCCTGATGGTTATAGCAATGCTACGGTCCAGCATGTTCGTGGATTCAAATCCAACCGGGTCGACGAAATCTTTGCATCCATAATTATAATAAAGACTAGTGGTGTTATTTCACAAAAAACCTTAATAAATAATATAATAATAATAATAATAATAACGCGACACCACCCCGCCCTAGGGAAACGCTATATCACATGTGCCATGGACACACATATAGACAACCACACATTACACCGAAAGTCACGAGAGAAATAAATGTTGGTCATATAGTAATAAGTAATTAGTAATTAAAGTAATAGTAAGTAGTATGTATGTGTATATATGTGTGTGTGTATATATATATATATATATATATATATATATATATATATATATTCGTGTTATTGTTTCTGTTACATAGATATTAAATGCTGTGTACATCTGTAATAGGTAGACATATAAGTACAAAACTAATGTGAAATTACACTATTACCTAAGAGTATATGTACTACTGTTGATGTACCTTAACTATAAAATAAATAAAATAAAATATATACATATGCTCTGCGTCCCAGGTCAGGATGGTATGCGTTGGGCCACAGAGGCAGTTTATTTATAGGCAGTAATACATTTAATTATAGTTCTCTGTAAAGATGGCAACTAAAAATAATACAGTCATTGTTGGCCACAGTACACTGCGTATTGTACTGCAGGAATGGAATTGGTTCCGTCGTGGCTTAACATCTGGCACGGTTTGCTGGAAGACGCTGGTTCTAATTCAACCCGAGCGAAGGATTTTTTGTTAGTGAAAAAAATCCTTTTTTTTTCTTAAAAATCTTTGTATTAATAATTCGACCCCTCCCACGTAAAGTATCGTATGTCAAAATTGCCAAGTTTACAGGGGAGCCTTTTAAAGTTCTGAATTCACTGAAATAAGCATAACACGTGAATTTAGATTTCTCACTTTTATTCGGCAAATCTCGTTACACACGTTGAGTATCATAAAATCCTAGATATCGGTTAGATGATCTATGTGATGATCACTCTATGTGAGTAACAAGCTTTGCCGAATGAAACGGAGAGCTTTAAAACACTCCCCTGTAAACTTGGCAATTTCGACATACGATACTTTACGTAGGAGGCGTCGAATTATAACATACTAGTGGAGTGATTTTATAAAAATAATTGAATGTCATGGTGGTCAAACATCGTAACATTTAATAAACTTAAAAAATTACAATTATTAATCTATAGTCTAGTAGACTAGATAGTCAGCTGTTGGTAGCTGTAAAGGTACCTGGCTGAGTGAAGAAATAGTTTTCTCACAGATTGCGCTACGGTAAAAAATCGTTAAAATCCAAAAACAAACCCGTAATGTCCGCTAATTCGTTCCGTGGCTTAGTTGGCATAGCGTCTGGCACGGTTTTCTGGAAAATAATTAGAAAAATGTATATATTTTGCAGGAGCTAAGAACTTCAAGCGTCCACAAGTAGAGATGCTGGCTCGACGTTGGCAACACCATTGCCTCGAAGTGCGAGATGCCTCACAGGCTTTGCTGCTAGCCGAGTTAAGCAGGTAATAATACTTTTATGAGTTTCTCAGCGGTGGCGCTGTCGGCAATACAACCGTTTAAACTTAGAATAATAACAATGCATAGAAACCTAGTCCGCTCACGCTAAGTGAGGCAAATTGAAATAGGCTTACACGAGCGGGCGGGCCGTCAGTGTTCAAGGTCAACTTGCACCGCGAACAGCTCAAAATTTTTAGCTAAAATTTAAGAAATGTGCGGTAAATGAGTATAAAAATACGTCAAATAAACATAAAATAGACACTAACATCACATTCTACAAGGAAATAAAGCGTTTCAACTTGTATTTTTATGTAAATATTCACTAAAACAGAAAATTAATTTCGTTGCAACAAGATACGAAAAGGTTGCGTTGTAACGGATTGTTTTCTCCCCATTTTGCTATTCTGTTTCAAAATAATTATATTACGTAATTTTTTGAGAATAGGCAATATCGCGACAGTTGCAGAATTTCTACAAATGTAAGCTATTATTATTCTTGTCCATCATACAGGACTCATTTAGAAAAAAATGTCTTGCCCAGACTCAAAAGTTCTTAACTAAACTTATTTCAGGGAACTAACACTGACTAAAAAGTAATCGTCAGTTCTCTAAAGTCGTGTATAAATAACTTTCAGGTTCACATTCTTTATTGTTATCACGTACTCTTCATGTGTTTATCCACAGATAATATTAGGCTATTTATACATCCAAATTTATATGAACTAAAGTCAAATTCGATAGTCGCACTTAAACTCGCTTTTAGGTTTTTGCTCATATATGAATTAAATAAAAATTGGGAGGTATTTATTAACTTAATGATGAGTTAAGCAAGAGACAATTTCCCCACTTTTGATGGAAATGTTATTCCATGGCATCATTATTTGTATATTTGTGTGCTTGCCACGAGCGTAAATACAAGTTGCTTACGCGTACATGAATTTCCTTTTTGCCTAACTTCTGACAGTTCGTTTAATATGAAACTATCATTCTATGCGTTATTATTCTAAGCTTTTAAACATCTGGAACAAGCGCATAGAGAAATTAGTAGGTAAGATCTGCTTACTCTGTACGTAACTAAGTTTTTTTTATATAATATCAAGTGACGTGACGAAAATGCGCGTTGTGAGGGTAATGTCAAAGCCACCCTTTTCAGGGCGTTTTGTCAGACCTTCTATACGTGCAGCCTGTGGACAAATTACACTAAAGCGACGGTCAATGCCCTGCGTGTCCAATACAATAATGGTCTTAGGATGCTATTGGGGCTGCCACGATTTTGCAGCGCATCAGGTATGTTCGCGGACGCACGAATTGTAGCTTCAGCGCGATTATTCGGAAAAGAACGGCCTCCCTGATGCGTCGCGTGCGTGGCAGTTCCAATAGCCTAGTTCGTTTGATCTGGGAGAACCCTGTTAGTGAATTGTGGAAGCACTGGAACTCAGTCCACATGGGTTCCAGGGGTTTAATTTATAAGTTATTGTAATATTTCGCAAATTTAGTACTAACATAGGTTGTAAGATTTTTTTTTGTAACTAACACTAATATGGACTATGTCTGAAATAAACTTTTTGAATTTGAATTGAATTTGAAAATGTCGTGCCCGTGATGGTAAGCAAACGCCTGTACATAACAGTACCAGTGCCATTCAGAGCTATAAATCGCAAAGATTTGAGGGGCACTACCACTGCGCCACTCGTAAGACATATGTTGACAGGTCCCATGTGCCTGTAATTTCACCAGCACCCTTACCCTTCAAAACTGGAACACAATAGTCTAACATTATGGCTTGGCGGCAGAAATAGGTAAGGTGGCAGTACTTCCCTGGACGAACTCTTTCACAAGGAGCTCTACTGCTACAAAAATTATTTCTTTATTTACATTTTAGGAAAATTCATGGACAAATAATACAATTATATATACTTAAATATGAGTAATCCAATGCCATTTACGAATTTCCACTAACATGAAACAATATAAAGTGCTTAGCAAGCCAAAAAGAGATTTTAAGAGAAAACAAAGAACACAGTAACTAATTTAAATAAATAAAATAAAAATACTAAAATAATAGACATTTAAACAAACAAACCAGTGTTTTCCTCGCCAATTCCATAGTCTGAGGGTCGTATTCTAGAACTTTACTCAATGCTCAAGTCAGGATTGCAATTGAAACACAAGCACTGGAAATACGACCCTAATGGCAGGGACTTGAGTCTCATTTCTAGTGCTTTGAATCATACTCAAGTCCTGACTTAGCATTGAGTAGAGTTCTAGAATACGACCCTAAGATCGCCGATCACGTGATGTGTCAAAGTGACGTTTGGTCATTTCACGCCTAACTGTGTCTATGCTTGAACAAAACAAATCAAATTCAGAATGATTTACTGTCGCATTGTTAAAAAGTCTCAATGCACGCACCATGTACGTATTTTACCTATTATGACTGCAATGTCAAATAAGTACGACCAACTTAAAAGACCCATGATGCTTATGAGGCTTCGTACTTCACATTGTCTTTTAATTTTTTGGAATATTACTTATTTGACAGTAATTGTTTCGGACGAAGGTCGGAGTGAGAACGAGAGTAGAGTAGAGAGACAATGCATTTGTCTAAAAAAAAATGACTATATTATATAGCCTATTGTAATTATCACTTTTTTGTCAACAGACTGGGCCCCAAAGGCCGAAAGGCGTTAGTAGACAACTGGGCCCAATATCTTCCGCTGTACACCCACACCGAAAGCATCAACCCTCACGCCTCGCAGAAGGAGCCAGCGGAAAAGGTCACCCGAGTAGTGAGTTCATTATACGGCTGTATAGAAAAATAGAACACCGTAATGTGGTGACCATGATTATCGTCTTTCCACTCACAAATTTTTATATTAAATTAATATTTATATTAACCTTAACATTACAAATATCGAACATTTTAGTCGAAAATCGTTGGCATAGCATTTCGCAAGGTTTGCTGGAAGTCGTTGGTTCGAATCCAGCCGGATCGAAGAATTTTTTCTAAAGTGTTTGATCTTTGTATTAATAATTATAACAAATTAGTGGAGTGATTTCACAAATATAATTGAATATCATTTTCACTGTACATAGAAACTCAAGATCAAAGGTGTGTTTACTTGCAATTAATTTATTAATTTCTAAAATTTTATTTGTGCCATCCACCTGTATATCTTGTTTAGTTTGTTAACCGACTTCAAAAAAAAGGAGGAGGTTCTCAATTCGACTGTATGTTTTTTTTGTATGTATGTTACGCGATAACTCCGCAGTTTGTGAACCAATTTTGATGATTCTTTTTTTGTTGGAAAGAAGGTATCTCAGATGTGATCCCATTTAAATTTCAAGAGAATATTCCACCTCTAAGGGTGGCAAACTATGGGATGAATGACATTTGAGGTCGGGTTTTTTTAACCGGAGGTTAGGTTGTTTTATTATTAAGAGTCTATACGACCTGAAATGGCTTTGGTTGCTTCCGCATAACAGTGAGTGTTTAATCAATCACTTTCGAAAATATATGATAATATAGCGAAATTGAGGATATGCACTGATTACTATATGATGTGAGAACACGATTCCTACACATTTTCGCGATAGAAAAAACCGAAATCTTACAAGAAAAGCGCTCTATTCAATAGGTACTTTACATATACCAATGATTTTTTTTATACCAACTGGACTGTATACAACACGTATACTATATGATACATTTTTTAAACGGCATCAATTTCGTTTGTAAAAAAAAATAATTCAGAAATAAGCCCGTTCCCTGCCACTCGACCCAAGCAAAATGAATCGTATTAGTAAAATTAACAAATAAGTAGCAAAATTAGCGTTATTGACTTTTTTCAAAGAAAAAAACTAGGTTACTTTACTTTTCACTCTTCTACGCTCTGCCGTGCTCTTCGATCTTCTGATACACTTATACTAAACAGGGCTCTCATGCCTCCGATTTTTACTCCAACTCGTTTACTGTATCTGCTATCCGGCTATGGAATTCTTTACCTGGATCATCGACGATACCCCTTCTTTTGATTCCTTCAAACGACGTGTTAAGAAACATTCCCTTATCTACTAATTCTGAATTTTTCGCTCCATTCCCTTAATTTTGTTTCTTTTATTAGTGGTATAATCATCCTTTATAAGTTTATTTATTTCTATTACTATTTATAATTTATTTTGTAGTCCTACATAAGAATATAAGTAACCTTATTATATATATCAATATATATTTATGTATACTTTCTAATATTATAAGTAGTCATATTACAATTATTTATGCATTTACTTTATTGATGAGTAGTGTATTTATTTAAAACGCTTTCATTACAAGATATTCTTTCTTTGCACCCCCCTTTCCAACTCTTAAATTTCTATTCTAAGGTTGTCTGGAAGAATATGCTACTCAATAAGGCCGCCTGTTGTACATTGGCTTACTCTGTGATACTTACAGTACTATTATGTGTTGTCATTGTAATTTTGATGTGCAATAAAGAATATTTCATTCATTCGAAAATTACCAAAATGCAAATGCGTTGTTTATAACATGGAGGCCAATATATTTAAAGTACTTTTCCTCCGAATAGCTGTAGGACGGCCTGTATCACGGAAGGAGAAAAAACAATGTAAGAGCCGTAAACCTCGATTGCTATGGGAACTGCTGTCGCCAAAACTCAAACATTCATAATTTCAAACGCTATGAAATCTTGATAACGATTGGTCGTAGTTTCTAATTTAAAAAGAAGTAACAATTTCTAGACTGTTAATATAATTTAGACTTTACCCTGTTGACATATCGTTTAAAGTTCAATACCTATTATTGGAAGTTACTACGTTTTGATTTTGTATTTAAATTTCAATGAATGTGCTAATGAAATCTAGCGGTCAATAGCTGAACGACAATGACCAAATTGTGTTTACTTAGTTCTGCAAAAAAGAAGCGACCATATTGCAGCTGTATAAGGTTTACACTTTCATTGCTTGTAACAAGAATTCTTGGCAATTTGAGTAGTACGGATAGCTGCAGACCGCACTTTAAACAATTTAAAATTTTGACTTTGTGTTCTATATATATTTTAGAAACTTGTAAATTTATTAAACAACACCCTGACTTTTACACTAACACTGACGACCTGCCTCAACGACACACTTTTAGACCACGCAATAGATTGCTTCTGCCACGATCTCGGCTACACATACACAGCTCAAGTCCCCACTCGATGTCGGTGAGGATATCCAATGAGCTCCCGCCTGTTATTAAAAACGAGGAAAAGTATTCACTGTTTCTAAATAAATTAAAATTACATCTTATTAATAAATGCTATTACAATTGAAATGAATACTTTGATGACAAATAAAAATAATAATATTATAATAAATTTGAATAATAAATAAATGTTAATTATATAATATAAAGTTATGCTACTGTAATCTAATTAAATTCAAACTTTCAAGTGACATAATTCTACTCATAATATGACGTATTTCTTTATTATTATATGACATTTTTTTTTATATTATTATTTGATAAATAACAATTTTAATTAATAATTGAAACCTCGGCCTACCTCTGCTGTTATTGTTATCCCTAATAAAGGGCTCATATGTGTAGCATTATTTTAACTTTAAGACATGTTTACCATATGAATGCAATAAATATATTGAGTATTGAGTATTGAGAATAAAATAAGACTTAACGATGATATGAAATATCACCATGTCTAATATTACAGGTGGGACCTGATATGATGATTGCGCTCCAAAATAATGCATTTTTCTACGATTTTCGAGAATAGAATCATTTATTTCATATTATCAATTTCATAATCAGTCCGGTGCGATGCACGCTCAGATTCGGACGTGCTCACACAGTAAGAATTATATTAATTAGCGATCCGCGCGGTAATGACCGCTGCGCGTAATTGACTATGGGTTCCCAACAACTCATAGCCAATGAACTGCTGGCGTTCATACAACACGCCATCGACACTATGGACGAGGTCAGCATCATGCAGATCTGCAAATCAAACTTTAAAGAAGATGAGATTTGCAGTGGCAAGGCGCTGCTTTTCCGTGTGCTTGGCAAGGCCGAGCAGATGCCATCTCGCCGGAGGGATGGAGGAACGAAGAGTATCCAGGACATTATAACGATGTTAAAGGAAACCGACACAGACGACGTGCCTGCTTTCGTGGCAAAGGAGCTCCACAAGCTGCCCCCTGTCACGTTCGACCATGTCGATGTCACTAGGCTGCTTAAGGACATCACATCCCTGAAAGCAAGTCTGGCCGAAGTTCAATGTAAATTGGAGGCTTCGGATAACACCATCTGTGAGTTACGTGCCCAAGTTGTATTACTGAGTAGTGCAACTTCGGTAAGTAGGTCACCCGAGGCCTGTAACGTGAATACTCGTCGCGGGGCACATAATGCATCTATCGGCAGTTTTGAGTCGGCCCATACGGATGCGTCACCGACCGCTGTAGCTGAGCGCGATTCCCCGCGCCCCGCCCCTCGATTGTCCGCTCCAGCGGAGACGTCACGCATAAACACGTTGACCCCTCCACGTGATTACGCCGCTGTCGCAGCTGTTAACCGACCCGTTGCTCCACAACCACAAGCCAGGCAGCTATCAACGAAGGGGATGAAAAAACCTCGTGTACCTGTCTCTGAAGTTGCAAAACCACAGAGGCAGACGGACCGGTGCGACGATGACGGCTTCACAAAGGTGGAGAAGAAGAAGAGGAAGCCCACCAGCCGTAACCTGTGCGGCACTGCACCGACAGGGTCCAACTTTTTGCTGCGTCCGGCAATCCCGACAACGCTGCTGTACCTGTCTCGCCTGCATTACTCCACGAAGTCTGAGGAGATAGTGGAGTACATCAGGTTGAAATCCAAATACACCCTGAGGGTCGAGCGGTTGGAGTCCCGCCACTACGTGAACTTTAATTCGTTTGTGGTGAGAGTGCCGACCGAACATCTGTCGACCTTCATGAAGGAGGAGTTCTGGCCGAAGGGTGTCCTATACCGGCGATTCCGTGGCCGGTTGCCTGACACCAGATGGCGCCACACGTCGCCGACAACCTAAATACGTGTTAAATTAGTAATAGTGTTATTTTATATTGTTATGTATGTTAGTCTGTAAGGTATGTATCTATGGGTCTCAGTAACCTGAATATAAATAATGAAATAAAAAAAAAATAAAAAAATAATATTACAATTCGAAATATAATGTCAAGGGATAGCATGATTGTCATTAGTGTAAGCAATAATTTTATTGTTAATATACAATAAAATAATTAAAAGAAAAATACGAACTACAAAAATACAAATAAAAATGACATATTTTCAAAAACGTCCAAAATTAAAATATGATTACAATTTCTTTAAAAGAAATTCCTCTACACTGTAGAATTCATTACATAATAAAAGGTCTTTCAGTCGGGAACAAAACACTTCGTCATTTGTAACACTTTTTAGACTTGTGGGTTTGTGGGTAGGTGTTCGTAAAATCGGGGCCTGATTACTCGCGGATTTCTCGTAGCGAGCTCGGTTCGGCGAGCAACAGGTTTCACTGTTCCTACGTTACGTAATAGTCGAGGTTTTGCGCGAGATATTTGACACGACCATACCGACATAACGCACTGTTGGCATACGTACCACGTTCACTAAGCACTTCTACTGTATTATTGTTCCATGGCCTGTATGGTTGTTGCAAGAGCATTTTTTCTCTAAATTACAGCAAGACGAAGAATTCGAGGAAGAGGAAGAAGAAATTGTTCGCAAGCCGTCTTCTCTCGCTGAGTTGAAACGAAAGCAGACGACTGCCGTGGTCCTATTAGGCGTCATCGGAGCCGAATTCGGACAGGACATCACTAGTGAAGGTAGGCGACTGTTTTTTTTTAATGCTTGATTGAAGAGAAAGGAAACTTCATATTGTCACCACTATAGGCGTTGCCTACGCGCTGCCTGCTCTGAATCATATATTTTTTAATCGACTTCAAAAAAATGAGGAGGTTCTCAATCCGACTGCTTTCTTATTTTTGTGTACAGGAGAGAGATGAAGATGAAATAGTTCACATATTTTAGATTACCCTCATGGTTCATGTGTTACGCCAGTAATTGGTATGCAAATAATTATAGCAAAGTATACAATGTTCGCATTTATTTTTAAAGTCATTTTACTTTATACGAGGATTTGTTAAATACGTCACCTTCGTTATATAAAAAAAATTAAATAAAACGGAATTATTTAGAACTTTTTACTAAGCAGCTGACGTTACTTTTTTAAATTTGTGCGAAAATTAAATTTAAAAAAATTACGTGGGGTCGATACGATGGGGACGATTCGATGAAGAAAACGGATTTTCGAGTATTCCATTTCTCATCTGCAATCAGAACATAAAAACTTGTCGAATTATGATACGAGCTATTGCCACACCCCTCGTATTCACCAGATTTGGCCTCATTTAACATTTTTATCTGATTCTTTACCGATTTACATCAAATGTAGGTAATACAAGTATTTCTCCGACCCGGCAATCGAACCCGGACCTCTGCAATCCAGCATGGTAACCGTTCGGCCACAGAGGTAGTTAAATTTGAAATTATATAGGTGTTTTTCACATTTTGTCGCCTTACTTTCTCAAACTCGTATCTTAAAGCACAAAGATACTGAAATGCAAAAAATGGGTTGTATATACAAATTTTGCAAGCTGATTTCATATCGCATTTCCTTCATATTCACACACTGGCTTTTACGTATTCTTAAAATAATGCATTCGAATTAACACCCTTGATAAGATATTTAAATGAAATAGAAACTTTTGCATCTCCTGAATAATCACTCTTTATAAGATACGAGTTTGAGAAAGAAAGGTATCGATTTGGCGGGTTCGATTGCCAGATGAGATAAACAATTTCATCTACACACGTATCATAAACTCTCTATAATGTGTTCAAAAACCGCAAATTACGACCAGCATAAAGGTAAACTGTTTTGTTAGAACATAATTATAATTTCGAACATCTCTGAAAAACAAAACAATTTGATTCGACCTCAATTCTAATATCAGTCGAGATGAAGCTTTATTCGAAATGAAATGTCAATAGCAAACAATTTTGAAAATTTCACACGTTACTTGATATCGAACGATATGATAGTCGGGGCCGATTCTAGTTTGTCTATGAATTAAAAATAAAAACTACGGTTGTGTGACGTGCGTGATAAAAGTTTTTATTACGCCAGTCGCAACATGCGGTTCCTGAACACATCACAGAGAGCAGTGTATGTAACTGTTCATAATTAGGCATTAAAACACTCGTGAGATGTTTTAAACCTATCCTCGTATTCTAATGCCTTTCTTTATGTAACAGTGACATAAACTACTATTTTAATAGTCTTTGAACTTACTTTTAAAAATATAATAATGTGTCTATTAAATATTTTATCTATAGTCTGTCTTTTTTTAAGATGGAATAAAATTACAGTTCATTGCACAAAAGTGTTGCCCGCTTGCAAGCAGCTAGTGATTGCTGTCGATACATATTCTATCGACTATCGACTGATTGTTGATTACGCTTATGCAATAAATAGCCGAACTCGTTTCATTTGAATCATCAGCGCCCCGGCATCGGCAAATACTGGGCACGGGTTCTTTTGAATTATAAATTTTTGTAAGTTCATGCATGCATGCACTAACATTTAAAACTATAACGCAACACAACACACCGTACTAAGAAAACCCTGTGTCGCGGATGCCATAGACACACACATAGACAACCATAAATTACACCCAATTCACGAGAGAAATAAATATAGGCCATACATATATTTCTCCCGGCCTGGGAATCGAACCCAGGACCTCTGCGTGGCAGTCCAGCGTGGTAACCGTTCGGCCACAGAGGCAATTTAAAAATACAAAGAGGAGACATATTTTAAAGTTCTTTATTTTCAATAAATAGTAATCAAACCCGCCTGTCCTTAATACAATGTATGTGAATAAAAATTTATTTGGATACTAGTAGTCTAACTCTCAAAGTAAGAACAAAGAATTCAATAACGCAATTAGCAGTCATTAAAATGTAACATTTACATTTTCGGCAAAAATTTATGCTCTTTCAATTCAATCTATCGATAAAAGTCGATAACACTATTTAAAGTTTTTTGAAAATTGGCAACCCTGGAAATATCATTTTACTACATCTTCAAAAAAGACAGACTTTTAAAATAACGCTAATAACGCTCACACTCAACATAGCCCCGCACTAGGGAAACCCTGTGTCGCGGGTGCCATGGACACACACATAGACAACCACAAATTACACCCAAACTCACGAGAGAAACAAATGTAGGCCATACAAATATTTCTCCCAGCCCGGGAATCGAACCTGGGACCTCTGCGTGGCAGTCCGGCATGGTAACCGTTCGGCCACGGAGGCAGTTAAATTTTATATTTAAAGTAGTTTCCCTCCGTGTCATATAGCCGTGTTACACCCTATACTTTACAATACAAGCGGGCAGCGCGGCGACAGCACGTCGTATTTTGCTCTTCCAAATGTATTTTATTTAGATACACTTAAAGTCCATTTTGTAATGTCATACCTTTTCCTAAAGTAAGAAATCTAGAAATATCGTTATTACCAGCTTGAGCTTAATAACTATTATTCATAATGTACATTATGCCTTACTTATTTAAGCTTTTTCTCTATAATTTGCGCGTTGTGTCTGACAAATCTTCAGGTGCTGCTGGGAACAAGAGACGTAAAGATGGTGATGTTGGTAGGAAGAGTTCCGTTGTTGAAGGTACGTCATTTAAAAAAAACGGACAAAATTCAAAGTTATCTTGATTTTTAAAGGACTTCAAAATAACTGAGTTGACTGTGTTTTTCTTTGTATGTATGTTACGCGATAACTCGCGAGATTTGTGAACGGATTTCTATGATTCTTTTATTTATTGGAAAGGAGTTACCTCAAAAGTGGAGTACACGACTATTTTTAGCAGCGATGCAGCTGTTAATCGTTTACCCTTACACTATGCCATCGAGTATACAGGGTTACAGGTTAACCCTAAACTATTATACCTTGTTAGATAGCTAATGAAACGTAGATATTTTTAAGCACACCTGCCGCACAGCTGCCTTACACTTTTTTTAAATAATCCTCAAAGAAAAATAAACTGGGCACAAATTACTTAACTTTTTCAACTTTCAACAGTCTCCTGTGACCCACTTAGTTAATTTACCTACAATTTTGGTTATTAAAGCTAGAAAACATGTTATCTTATAAGTAAAAATTATAAAAAAATAATCATAATACTCACAAATTTCGAAGTACGTAACCTAATAGACATAAAATTGGCAATTTTTATAAAAAACCCTTAAAGTCAAATATCTTGAAAAGGGTTAAGTTTAGGGTAGGGTGTTTCATAGTCATATCAGTCAGAAATGGTGGAAACTACAAGCCCCTAAAGGATCTACGTCGACTTAACCTGTAACCCTGTATAACCAGAAACAGAGACGAAATAAGGACCATACGTTCCTGGTGACTCATCAGTGATACGTCACTTCTCGTCAACTCTCGTTTGCACTGAAATTACAAATTAGAAAGCTGAAACAGTACAGCGCCAACAACTGACCTGTTTGTACGTCTCTGCATATTCCAAAAACATTATGTATTTATTGTAATAAAGATAATATCTCTAACAATGGCGTGCTGTTTAATTTGGCGGTGTGGGGAAAAACTGCAAAATATCTAATTAAAAAACAAACTGATTCAAATTTCATCTTTAATTTTGCAATTGTCGTCCATTATAGCAAAGCTCAAGTTAACTGGTCGATTTGAAGTGAAACAATTGACGACAACCGTCAATTGTTCGAATTCGAAATAAATAATATGGCAGAATAGTTAGCAAACAAATTAAATGACATTCTGTCTCTATTTCTGGTTATATACTCGATGAGCGATGCAATCGCGCGTTTCACGACTCGAACTCAAATGTTCCTAATCTCACCCTTCAAATCAAGAAATCATGAGGAATGACAGTTTTACAAATATAATTAATTAATTACTTGTAATTTTTATCTTTGTTTCAAATCACTTGCTAGTGACTTTTGACGACCTCCGTGGTCGAGTGGTTTGCACACCGATTTTCATGGTGTCCCCATCTCTGAGGGTTCGATCCCCGGCCGGGTCAGTGTAGAAAATTAACTTTTCTATATTGTCTCGGATGTGGGTGTTTGTGGTACCGTCGTTGTTTGCGACAACACAAGTGCTTTAGCTACTTACCTTGGGATCAGAGCAACCTATGCGATGTTGTCTAATATAGTAATATAATCATCATCACAGACATGATTACTAGATTATATTAATAGCCTAAGGAAATTTCGGGAAAAATACTGAAATCGTGGTAACTGTGACACAGTTTAAGGCGAAAGCATTTATTCTACATCGAAATTGACTAGAGTATACAACCATGTACGTTATTGTTCGCCTTATGATGGTGTACATTGTGGACGTGACCTCTGTGCTCCCCAGGCTTCACCCTAAGCTCGTCCAACAACCTGGCGCGCCTGACCGCCCTGGCGCTGACGCACCTGCTGCTGTCGCCGCCGTGCGCGCGCCTGCCTGCGCACACGCCGCTGCGCCGCGCCGCCGTCGACCTGCTGGGCCGTGGGTTCACCGTTTGGGAACCCTACTTGGACGTCAGCCATGTTTTACTGGGTAAAATCTTAAAACCTGGAGTGCGTAGTAAGAAGACTCACCGATCTGTAGTACGAAATTACATTTGCCCGAAATAACGTACGCTCGAATTTTTTTTTAATTATACCAAGTGAAGAGACGAGCAAGTCGTGTGACTGGTGCTTAACGACACACTTTTCAATAGCTGTTGCAGTGCCACTCAGAGCTTTAAAGCGCAAAGTTCTAAGGGACACTTTATATAGTTGTCAGATATAAAAGGCCAGTGTGGTCGAGTGGCTTACACGTCTTAGGTTCGATCCGCGGCCGGGCCAATGTCGAAAACTAAATTTTCTATAACGTCATGGGTCTGGATGTTTTTTTTTATAATACCAAGAGGCGGGACGAACAAGTCGTGCGCCTGGTGGTAAGCGACACGTCTATCCGTAACAGTTGCAGTTGCCATTCAGAGCTTTAAATCGCAGAGATCTGAAGGTCGCTACCACTGCGCCCGCCACCCTGAGACAAAAGTTGACTTGTCCCATGTGCCTGTAATTTCACCAGCACCCTTACCCTTCCAAACCGGAATATAGTAATGCTCACATTACTGCTTGGTGGCAGAAATAGGTAAGATGGGGAACAAGGAACTCTACTGCTACTAAAAGTTTGCTGTACCGTCGTTTTCGGTTTCCATAACATAAGTGCATTAGTTACTTACTTTGGGACGTATTGTCACAGATCACTTAATACTTACTACATAACAGATACATCACTCTCATACAAAATCGAAAATACTTAAGCTATAATAGCCTACTAAATCTGACTAATGACACCAGGCGCTCACTACAAGGAAAAGGGAACCTAAGTACGCGCCCAAAGAGGTGAAAATAACGTGTGCAGTCGTGCGGAACCGAATGCTAATTAATTAAGACTTGTATGAGCGTTTGTATCGACGTCGATACACTCAGCGGTAGGCACTTATGGCGTTGAGCGATTGCCGGAGCTCTGGTGTTGTCTAATATTTATTTATTTATTTGGATTGATGGTCCGCAGGGCTGTTGGAAATGTGTTCGGACGCAGACAAGCTGGTTCCGTCGATGACGTACGGCCTGCCACTGTCCCCGCAGGCGGACTCGTGCCGCACAGCGCGACACGCACTCACGCTCATCGCCACAGCTAGGTGACAACCATTTTTTATACTAAACTTGAACAAGGATCATCCCTATGTCAGTTTTTAACCGACGTCAAAATTTACCTTCTTTATTAGCAAGTGAACTAAGTGGTTTAAGTGAAAGTGACGACAAATGGATAATGACTCTCGCCGCTTGAAAGACTATTTAAAACCCAGTTATTTTTACACTTCTACAAGTACTACATTATAAATAGAATAAAAAATATTTCTTAAGGATTCCGAAAACTAAATGAAGCCTGGCTCAAAGTATTTGTGTCCAAGCCAAAAATTATAATAAAATAATATATACAGAGTACTAAAAAACCGATCTCAAAAGTTTGTTAAATTAGACGTACTACGTACGTATTGAAATCGGTTACCGGAAAGTGCGCGAAACTGAATTCATTCCCTAATTTGCCGCCCTTAGAGGTGGAATATTTTCTGCAAATTTAAATGGGACTAATACTGAGGCACCCTCTTTCCAACAAAAAAAGAATCATCAAAATAGATTTACAAATGCCGAGTTATCGCTTAACATACAAAAAAAAACAATTGAATTAAGGAACTCCTCTTTTTTTGAAGTCGGTTAAAAAGTGACTAAGCCTATAATGACCTATAATCAAAGTCAAATAATCATTTATTCCATAGGTAGAATTTTTACACTTAAAAGCGTCATTTTTTTAAGCTACTGCTCGTTCACTACGCTGACCTCCCTGAAAAGAACGAGCAAGAAACTCTAGAGATTGCTCTTTTCAAATAAACTTAAATGCTATGGAATATTACATAACATAACATTTTGAATCATATTTGTGTGGAATCTAGACTCATGTTGTCTTTCTATACATCTTTATCTAACACACAGTCTACAATTTTGTAATGACTTTTCAGTTAAAATACTTTTATTGTAAGTTTTAAACTTAGGAAATGGTAATTTTAATATATGCTCCGGAATCTTACTGTAAAAACGTATACAGTTCCCCATAAAAGAATCGTTTACCTTAATTCAATTAAATCGTGGTACCATGAGCTTGGACTTAGTTCTAAGGTTAATATAATGGATATCTTCTTTCTTAACGAAATTATGTATATTTTTACGGGCATACAAAATATTTGTATATCATACCAGTCGGTCTTTTAGTATTTCCTCACATTGTTAGAGAAAAGCACTGTACTAGCCTCGGCGGGAACGGGGATTGCTTGACTCGGCCTCTACAGTAATGTACTATTACAATGAACGACACATATCGATTGTGAACGAGAAGCTGGTACTGTCTCACTTTTGACAACTTTACAAGTGAAGAAAAAATCATTTACATAGCATCTGGTTTGTTAAATAAAAATGCGTAGTGTATATACGTACGTGTGTAATAAAAATATTTAAAATAATAAATGTCGCAAACAATTTTTTCTTCGCCTTGTGAAGTTGTCAAAATTGAGATAGCACCGACCGGCATCGAACCGGCAGGCCCGCGGCCTTCATAACGACGATGGCCCGCGAGGTGGCCCGCTGCGCCGCCGCGCAGCAGAGCGGGCAGCCGTCGGCCGCGTACCTGGCGCTGCAGCGCGGCCGCGCCGAGGTGCTGCGCGGCATCGAGCTGCTCATCGACCGGATGCACAACGAGGTGGCCGAGCTGCTGGTCGAGGTCAGCGCCAGTCGTTACAAGAACAAATAATCTCAGTACAGAGTACTAAAAGCCTACCTTAAAAGTCATTCATCCCCTAGTTTGCCAACCTAAGAGGTGTAATTTTTTTTTTCAAATTTAAATGGGACCACTTCTGAGGTATCCTCTTTCCAACAAACAAAGAATCGTTAAAATCGATTCACAGAGTCTTCAAAAAAACTTCAAAAAAAAGGAGGAGGTTCTCAATATGACTATGTTTTTTTATGTATGTTACACGATGACTCAATCTCGATGACTCAATCTCGAGTGACGCGTTCCGTCACTCGAGATTGAGTCATCGTGTACAAGTCGTGTGCCTGGTGGTAAGCGACACGCCTGTCCATAGCAGTTGCAGTGCCACATAGAGCTTTAAATCTCAACGATCTGAGAGGCACTGCCACTACGCCTGTCACTATGAGACATAAGTTGACAACTCCCATGGGCCTATAATTTCACCAGCACCGAACAGGAACGCAGTAATAATGACGTTACTGCTCGGCGGAAGGAATAGGTAAGGTGGCAGTACTTCCTTAGACAAACTCTTTCTCAAGGTGCCTATACTGCTACTAAAGATCTTTTTTTTTTTGCTTTTATTATTATTATAATAATTTTTCGCTTCTAGGTGATGGACATAATCCTGCATTGCGTGGATCAGTCACATTTGAAAAGCAAAGGCCTCAACGAAGTTTTTCCCGCCATCTGCCGTTACAACCAGGTGTCACATTGCCCGGCCACAAGAAGGATTGCAGGTCAGTTAATTCCTTTAGTCCGTCACATACCAATGGCTTTCTAGAAAAGTGATCTATTCCAAAAGCACCGAACTAATCGGGAGGATGTTTAAAAATAAACAGTGATGTGTCTGCCGCGCATAGTTGACGAATCGTAGACCATCCCAATGTTGTCATGTACTTGTGTTAACCAATTGAAAGCTCGGTGTCCCGTTCACAATTAAATTTCAGCAATGAGTCGAAAAAAGGAACTAATTTGGACTGGACCCCTATTCTTGAAACAACTTCTTGAAACAGCGACATGCTGCATTTCGATTGTATATAATTTCAGCAAAAGTACGCACGGCAGGTGAAAAATTATACACTTTTGCTCAGAGAGAGAACGATTCGAATCATTGGAATGGGTTAGCGTGCAGAGGGCCCACAACCTCGAGCGACACAGCAAAAATTTTTTTTACTTAAGCGAACTTCTAACGGTTACACCTTATACAGTGTGTTGATTTGCATTCTCGCCATATTTAAGAAATTAATAATATAAATCATTTAAAAATATAAAAAAATATTCTGTTCAATATTCTGACTAATTGTATCTATTAAAGTTTTGCAAAATTGTCTTTAAATCGTATACACCGCGCGCGGGCAGTGGCCCCGACGGAGTCCTAGCAAGCCCGAGCGAGCGCTCCGATCGCTTAAAAACCTATTTTTTATCATTATGAGTACGTATTGTTATAATTTATTAATTATTAAAATAATTAGGGAAGTTGACTAAAGATGTTTGTTTTTTGTAATTTAAATTTGCCGATTTTAGGTTTGGTTGGTTGGTGCCGACTCGAAGGAATTGCCGGAAGTGTCCACCAACCACCACAAATTAGAAAGATGCCAACCACCACTGTGACTGGCTATGCAAAAATTCGTTTGTTGTCGAGAATTTCGTTTCAACTTTCTGAACACTACGCATTTGACTTCACAAGTTTCAAAGCGGAGACGGTTTTTGCGCGTAATTGTTCGACACTCGGTAATCTTCTCCGTGTAAACTAAACGTTTCACATCACCCCATTACTCACACACTTGTTGTCCATCAGAAGGAGCGCTGCCTTGATGATAATAGAGTTCTGGTCAACACCAAAAATCTCTCAATTCACGCGACGCGTTATTTCGAGATAAACTAATTGCTGGCGAGCCCATCTATAACTATCCCTATGCGTGAAAGAGCGCATTGATTGAAGAAACGCCCGCATGCTTTTGAGAAAGAGATAACAAGAGAGTCGCTCCGCTGTTTGGTAACACGTGTCATGCAAAAGTTCCATGACCTTTGGATCAGGTGATTGCGAATCGATGTTTACCGCAACTAAATAAAAAATAAGAATTTCGAAAATTCTCATTGCGATTGACTTTTTTAGTGATTTGGGTTCAGTTTCGGATATAGGATAACCTCTGTAAACATGGCGAGAATGCAAATAAACAACACATTGTATAATGTATATGTCGGAATGACATTACGACGACGTTCACGACAAACTACAAACAACGCGTTTAATTTATAGTCTCGTTTTGACAGTTATTGATTTGAATGGAAAATGGTTGCGCAAATGGAACGCAACATGCGTAATGTGGCAATTTCGCGGGTTAACCAACCATGTAGAGAGTAAGCAGGTGGGGAAAACCCCGCCAGCAGACAGTGTTGATTTTTTGGAATAGTCAGCATTAAAAAAAACGATCTATTTTATTAATTTTGTTTGAAAGAACGTTTTATTAAAGAAGGATGGCGACCTGCATTAAAGGGACCTATCAATACTTGTGATTCATTATCAAAGCGTCAGAAAAATTCATTGATTACAGCCTGTACAAGCTGGGGTTTAAGGTTGATATAGGTTATGTTTATAATATTGTCCTGTATTTCGCTTCAGATGTTTGTTAGTAGTGGCAGAAAACAAGTTTTCAGTTTATTCCCAAAAATAATAAAAAACTTGCTGAATATTCCCAAATCTGCCAAAGTCAGTCACATTTAATATAACGTTAACATGTTCTGTCATAATGAAAATGAACAAAAATGAAATCTGCCCAAATGGCAGAAATCTGCCACAAATGGTCATACTGTCGCAATCTCCATGTGACATGTGACAATTGACATTAGCAAGGAGCCTTTTATCAAAACGTTCCTTTGCTAACTTTAATTATTTCTCATTTAAATATTGTCTAAGCATTTTTGTCACTGTATGTGTATTTTATTTTTTACTTTATATCATTACTGTTAAATTGATTATTTCATTAGGTATTTTATAGCTTTAATGTTTTATGTGTGTACTATAAAATACCAATACTTTAGGTAGGTAAAAATTCAATCATGCTTAAAATGAAACGTACGTTCAAGAACGTTACCTAATCTATGGTCGAACTGAATCAGTTGCGTTGTGTTATTGCATCTGTTCTAAAATACATTGTTTTACAATTTCTTTATTCCCGATTTCTAAAAATATACTGAAGTATATTGATCACTAGGCATAAGCTAAAACCATTGACTTACAATTATATGGACGTCGGGTCCGCGCTAAGAAGTGTCCGAACTTATAGGGCGTTAAAATCGTAAACAGAGCGTCATTCACGCTTTAGTCTTCGTTTGTTCGACTGACAGCGAAGCAAGCAAAATTAGACAGTACTGCGATGACATTACAATTTAAATTCAACGTTTTAGCTTTTTCATATTCCTTTATATGTCACTACGTTTAAATAGGTTGACTTGGGACATTTTTTTCGTGGTTTTTGTATTAGACCCGTCGTCCATTTATTTGTAAGTCAATGGCTAATACGTAAAATTATACTAGCAAAGTCAATGAACTGTTTTTTGTTGATTTTATAATTATTGGGTCAGCTTTCGCCATCCTTCTTTGACAAACTTCCTGCTATCCCGATTTTTTTTCGTCCCATGCAATGAAATGATCCTTACATAAAACTGATTCGATCAGCACTAAAAAAAAATTTTATCAATTTTATTCATTTTTACGGACAATTCACGCTTGACCAAAAATTGTTTTGGCATAGTCAATTAATCAATAATTTGGCACAATCAATAGTTTGTCCTATTGAAAAAACCTTAAATTCCCATTTTTTAGTCCCTTTTTTTTTAAAAAAAACACCGTACTTTATACTATGAAAAAGTAACAGCATGTCGCCCTTTGCACTCCAGTGGGCAGCCACACGGGCCAGCTGGCGCTGTACGAGCTGCGCGCGGGCCGCTGCCAGTCGCTGGCGGCGCACAACGGGCCCGTCACCGCGTGCGCCTTCAGCCCCGACGGCCGCTACCTCGTCTCCTACGCCACCTCGGACAACCGCCTGTCCTTCTGGCAGAGCACCGCTGGTAAGAATCCGTGTCTACTTTAGGTAGACCCTTCTTCCTCGTTGGCCCGTGTGCTACCTCGTATATTGTCTTTTTAACCGACTTCAAAAAAAGGAGGCGGTTCGCAGTTTGTCTGTTTTTTTTTAGGTACGTTACGCGATAACTTTGTGAACCGATTTTAATGATTATTTTTTTGTTGGAAAAAGAATAACTGGATAGTGGTCCCATTTAAATTTTAAGAAAATATTCCACCTCTAAGGGTGGCAATCTAGGGCATCGATGACTTTTGAAGTCGGTTTTTTTGGTACTCTGTACTGAGATTATATAGGTACGTCATTTTTGTACTATGCGGTACAACTTGGGCAATTTAGGATGTAGAACTAGCTCGTATGCCGTTACATAAATTCACACTTAGCACTGGCAAGTTGAATTTGATACCCAGTTGAAGCCTCACACAGCTCATGACACAATCCACGAGGGCGGTTTTCAAAGAGGATCTCATCTGCGTCCGCCGTCTTGAATGTTTGACAACCAACTAAATGATGTGCAGTGTCTTCACCGCACATCAATGAGACACATATGAAATGCCCCATCTTGTTGTGAATCTCATTAAATAACATTTTATTTATGTATCTATCGCAAATAGTGAAATTATTGTTAAGTTTACGTAACTTGAATTACACCTTATGGCTGTTTTAACAGATTACAATAGTGAGGTTACATATAACATAATCAAATGCGAATCACATCTATATTTTGTTAGATTTATAACTAGTATTGTAAGGGGTAGCTGATTAAATAGTTTTAATATAAAATACAAAAGGAAAATAAAAATGTTTACTTAATATATCTTCAACTCGAAACCGCTTTGTTTGCGTTGAGGTTTGACGCGAGTTTGCCGCAGGTAGAAGTTGTGCTGGCCAGCGATCCCTTATGTGACGATCGTATTAGATTTCTGTTTTAAAAATTTTTAATTTCGAAAAACAAATGCCGAGTTGTGTCGTATAATTATGCATTCCATAAATTTTACTGCACGTCACTATTGACAACATCGTACAACAATGAGATCCTTCAACGTAGTTATGAATTAATACGAAACTTGATGAGTGGACAAACGTCAAAACGGCCATCATAGCGTGCCGGTACTTCAGTCAACATATTTTGTTGTATGACAATAAATTATAATAAAATATGAATACTTAATTACATTAGTTAGCACCTCAACTATTCATTAATATTACGTAACAACTGATATTGAATTTTCAATGTCATTGCAGTTTAATCCCTTTTACCAGACTTATGTAGGTTTCTTACATTGAAACTTATTCGTATGATATACAGGGTGATAAAAAATCACTGGCCATTTTTTTTCCTTTGCATAAGATTCAGTAATAGAACACATTATTGAAATAAAACAAAAATAAATCCCCATTTTTTTTTATGATAATATTTCTCAATAATTTCTATCGCGTGATCCTTGAAAGCGATGACCTCAAAATAGTTAATAAAATTGAGCGATCAACGCCTAGTTGTCCAGACGTCGCGCCGCACGACGACAGACCTGCGCTAACGCATCGCGCATTAGTTTAATATTTTGTTATCCGTCAAATAACTAAACTCGCGCGCTGACTCCGCCCACTGCCCCACACCGTTCTTAATGGAAATTTTTTGGAAAACTGAGACGTAATAGCTTATTTATTTGTTAAGTATTTGATAAAAACCGAACATGTATTTTTTATTCCCATTGTACAGTACGCTCCTTTAAAATGGTCACTGGTCTTTTATCACCCTGTATACACAGTGAACGATTGATATTATTATACAAAAAGCTACTAAGAAAGCAAAAAAATCTATGGGAGTGTGCATTTTGAAACCGTTCAGTGGAATAAACAATGTCTGCTCGTCTTTTGGTAGTTTGGAGTGAGGGGATATAGGGCGTTAGTGAATGCTTTTTTTTGTTACCGTTAGTAGTATGAACAACTGGCGTATTGAAAGCAAATATCTTAACTAGATTAAGGATGTCCTTAAAAAGACCGAAGAAATGAGCCAAAATTGTATTCAGAGATAGAGACTAGGCAGTAGAGTAATTTATAACGCTTATCCTTTCAGGAATGTTCGGCCTAGGCGCAGCCCAAACACGTTGCGTGAAATGCTACAGCACGGCGCCTATGGCGGACGTGGCTCGCCTCAACCCCGCGCGGTTGGCACGCCTCGTATGGACGAATTCGCGTACAGTCACACTGATGCTTGCTGACGGATCCGAAACTAGATTCAATGTATAATAACCTCTTTGTTATATTAAAACAGTCATTCTGCCGCCGTTAGTTGAAATGCATATGACTTTTTTTCTACAAAATTGTGTATACTGCCGTGATCAGTAAAATAAATCTGGATATGTAACTTTTTTTATTTTTTTTAAGGTATGAAGTTACCGCAAGGGATAATTGGATATATTTTTAGTATAATTTCTTTAAACATTATTTTCTCGGTTTTTACTTTTTCTCACAAGTGCCCTTTCAACTAACAGCGGCAACATTATCGTAGTCGGTTATAGAGGGATGATACTGTCATGTTAAAGAAAAACTAGTATCAGTGTATAATAACCTCCTTACTACTTTAAAACAGACTCTTTATCATTACAAATGAATGTAGCTGTCATGTCAAAACGAATGCGACTACTAAACCTACATTCAATGTATAATAACTTTTTCATTACATCAAAATAATATTTTTCGTAGTTGGATAAAGGTAAATAAAGCTGTCATGTCAAAACTGATTGAAGACTAGATTCAATGTATAATAACCTCTATATTACATTAAAACAGTCTTTGTCGTAGTTGGATAAAGGTAGATAAAACTATCATGTCAAAACTGATTTGAAACTAGATCCAATGTGTATTAATATTATTACAATAAAACAGATTTGTTAAAACGGATTCATGACTAGATTCGATGTATAATAACCTTCTTATTCCTATTTAAAACAGTATTTACCGTAGATGGATAAAGATTGATGAAGCTGTCATGTCAAAATAGAGATTATCATGTCCACAACGTATAGGAAAAAAATTTGGATCTGATTTCAAAAGGAGAAAAATGTATCCCTCTTTTAAACCAAATCAAATTATTTATTATATTATTTAAAAATATTCCTAAATTATTTGTGTTATCTTTATAAATGTGACTAATTGGAAAATCAGTATTTAATACATTCTATATAATGATGTTAATTGTGTAGATTTTGGTGCTCAAATCTTTAAACTAAGATCAGCTAATTATTTAAAATTATGTCGGATGCTAAATAACAAGTAATTAAATTAAAACAAAAACCCGATGCATAAAGTCACCATCTATAAGCCAACTACTCGTTGAAACAAATTAAAGCAGATAGATACGAACTTACCTAACAATAAAATAGCGAAAAAACGGTTACTTCTTTAAATGCAATTATGCCCAAACGCATTGCAACAGAAGTTCGTTCGATTTTATATTATCAGGTAAAATTACATGGTGTGACATTCGCAGCTTTTTCTTACAAAATTGAGTTTTTTTGTATTTTGTCGGATTATGCATTCATTCATTCTTGGCGTCCGCTAGCAATAACATTTTTTTGCAATCGAAGCTGTACTAGGGGTAAATTTTGACAAGGGATAACTCTGTGACCGTAGTGACAAAAGCCAACTTTTTACAAAGAAATGCGAAAAAACACGTAACGCAATATCATATTCAGCTTCAATTGTTTTTCGCGTCTCTTTCTAAAATTGTCTTCGCAAGATTTATTGTAAGTAGTTGAGGAATTGGGTTGTTTGCAGACTGTCCTAGTTGCAGTATCAGATCAAAGTCACCATTGTAATGTCATCAGATTTGTATATTATATCAAATTTTAAATCGATCTGACAAGTGGAAATAAATATACGTGACGGGAGACGCTCCGGATGGGCAGTTATGGAGAAACCGTCTATCACAATTGCGATGGGGTTTAATAAAATAATCTGCTAAATGAAAGAACCCAAACCCACCGTCCATCAGCTCTCCACCGAGCTGCCTTAACCTGGAATGTGAGCATCAAAATCGACACCAGTGTTTAATTGTATACTAAAACATGAATATAACGTGTAGTCAATGTTAAACATTATAGTTCTTAGTTCTAGCATGTATTGATCCATGTCTGCTAATCACGATACAAGATAGTGTAGCCAGGAATTTGTATGCAAATGCCTGTTCGGCATTCTGCACTTTCGTGGCTAACTTTTGAGCTAAACAGTCCTTTTGTGAGTTCTGTCTGTGTTTACAAATTTATAGAGCCTTAAAATACGCATCTTTTGAGTATAAATGCATAGGTATTTAAAAATAAAACAGCATTAAAATGTTAAAAAATGAGGTCGAAAACTTTGATCGCCTCTCCTGTAAAAAAGTGAACATTGGACATGCGGCCGTTTAGCATTTACGCTGCAATATGAGACGGAACTTTGACCTTTTGCTGAGTTACGAACTTGTACTATGGAGACTAGCAATCCTCATGAGTTATCGGTCCATGGTTAAGACCATTATCATATCATTATCAATTATCGCTACACATTGGAAATGAAACTATTTTTTTGGATCTAAATCGTATTATATTTGTTTTTATAAAGGTTTTATACAGCTTCTGTGTACTTGGATGACAAAGTCTTTGGTATTGACCCGTTTAGCTCTTGTAGTTTCGATCTATGACGTTTGAAATAAATATTGTAAATGATCATTCATTTATACGCCCCACTGCTGAGCGCGGGGCTCCTCTTAGACGAGGGTTTAGGCCATAGTCCGGTACGCTGGCCAAATGCGGGTTGGGTTTCCCCAAGGTTTCCTTCACCGAAAATTAATGGTACATACCACAGACTCTGCTTGAGAGGCGGAAAGTAGAGGTGGGCGTTTAAACGAAAAGCACTTTAAAAAGTCTGCTTTTTAAAATAAGCGCATAAGCACGCTTTTCATTTTAAGCGTAAGCGTTGGTCACTGGTCAGTCTATGCGCTTAAACGTTTTTCTAAACGACTTTTTAAGCGTCAAACTAAAAAGCGTATAAGTGAAAAGCGCTTTTACAAGCACGCTTTTCAAACGTACGTTTTAACGTTAAAAAAATAAGCAGTTTTTTTCCATTTCAACGGTTAACATCTACAAAAGTTAAATGACTTATGTTTTTGAACGCTTTTAAACGGCAATGAACAAAATGTTAATATAATAATGTTATGTCATAAAACTATAACTCGTTTTTTTTTTTCAAAAAACTTATCTCAAAACCTTTAGTGGTATACTCTTGCGTTTCGTTTAACATAGTCTATGCGCTTAAACGTTTTCTAAACGATTTTGCTTGAAACTAAAAAGCGTTTAAGTGAAAAAGCGTTTAAAAAAGCGTAACGTTTAAACGTTTAAAAATAAGCAGTTTTTCCCATTTCTAGCGGTAAGTCGTTTGTCTTACATTGATTGACTTACATTACATTACCTATAAGTATATACGCAGTATAAGTATATATAGAATAAAAAAAGTGTGTTCAAATGGGTTACCTCTTAGAAGTCCAAAATGACATTTTCCAGAAATAACGTTTGCTCGAATTTTCATAACCTCGAAAGTAATTTCGAAAGGAAAGTTTTTTCTTTTAAATCTAACTTAGCCTAACCTAATCGAATCTAATCGTGTCTTTGCGATAAACATCCAACATATCCTGAAAGAACAACGGTTTCATTATAATTCGGTTTTCAGGGTAATGAAAATTCGAAGGAACGTTATTTCGGAGTTTGTGATATGTTAATGTTTAAATGTATATTTACAAAGAGTAACCCCTAGACTTTTTAGCTCATTCATTTGAGTTTTCCAGTGTAGGAAAATATCGTGAGGAATTCTATACATATCTGCAAAGCAAATTAACGTTGTATGTAAACACAATCCACTTTGGCCCGTGTGGGAACTACAACCCAAGACCTTCACGTTATGAGAGGTCTTTGGTCCCAGCAGTGGACCCTTTACAGTCTATTTGTTACATTTCCAATGTTTAGACAAGTAAAAAATTAAATAGTGTTGCTACCTTTAAACATATTTAATAGCTATTTCTTTTAAAGATAATAATTAAAATTATTGTTATTTGGTGTTTATACCTTAACAAATATAAGATCAAGTTTAGATAACATCCGGTGCCTCTGCCATGAAATTACAGTGACAGTAAAATCGAACCCCTCATGGAAGAATAGTATAGTTGAAGTAACGTCAAAAATGTTTATAAAAAATATGTGGGTTATATTTTTCTGTATCCAATGGATCAATAAACATTTTTGACGTCACTTTACTTATGCAATTCTTCCATGAGGGGTGCGAATTGTTTGTATACAAAATGATGTTTTTTCTTATGACCGCTAGGGGCGCTGTATAATTTGCCGTACAACATTGTAAATTACGCGATCGCTAGCGACATCTGTCACAGTAAACTCGTGGTAGAGACACTATAATATTTAAGGCACAATAATACCAATTTGCACCAATATGAAAAATCGCTTATTTATAACAAGGAGACACATTTAGCGAAAAAACGGTGCTGAATTTACGCGTGCACAACTCTCTTTGTTATAACTAACGTATTTGCATTTTGCTATATGCGTGAAACACACTGTATTTATATATTCCGTGTATTTATATGGACGACAACACACTCGCCGCGCCCCCGACCAGCACGACCCGCACATATTGGCACAAGTTACTTAATAATTACCTCTCATAAAAAATCTAAAATACTTACGTTGTAATAGTCTACTAAATCTGACTAATGACATCAGGCGCTCACTACGAGGAACCTAAGCACGCGCTCAGGGAGGTGAAAATAACGTTGCTCAACGTATGCAGTCTACTAGTAAACTATGAATATGAAAAATTTCCTTTTTTTAAAGCATAGACACAGATGGAGCGTAAAAACGCTGCTGAATTTACGCAATTGTAATCAAGCTCGTAATTAAAGTGATATCGTGCGGCGATTGTATGCGAAATCTTGAATTTAATTTGGCACGAAGGAGCAAAATTGCACGCGAGTTTTTGGTCGCTTAATTTCTGCTTTATTTATCCCATGTATCATAAAAAATACATTTATATCGTCTGCTTAAAGGTAAAACCACATAAGTGACATTTTCCACTACAAATCTCCAAATTATGTACCAGTTGTAAGAAATTCTCCATCTTTCTGCAAATAAAACTCTTGAGTTTAATAGCTTTTTTGTTATTAAGTTTCACATGCAGAAAGATAGTGATTTTCTCACCATAGCTATGTAAATTAAAGACTTTTTGTGGAAAATACCACATATGTGGTTTTACCTTTAAACAGACGATATGACCTTGAGAAGCAAGTAGTCCTGGGTGCGTCGGGTTCGATTC